TAACTGATGTCCAGAGCGTACTTAAATTATGGAGGGAACACTTTTTCGCCCCCCTGAATGGTAGCAGCGCTGAAATTAGTGGACGAACCCGAGCCCCCAGTCGATGACGATGCAGTCGATGTTCCACCGCCTGACTATGACGAGGTACGAATAGCGATAGCGCGCTTGAAAAACAACAAAGTTGCTGGAGCTGACAGCCTGCCAGCTGAGCTATTCAAGTACGGTAGCGAGGAGTTTATATGCACGCATCAGCTCGTATGCAGAATATGTTCGGATGAACACATGCTCGACAACTGGAATTTAAATGTGCTCTGCCCAATAAACAAGAAAGGCGATCCCGCCATTCGCGCCAACTACTGCAGAATCAGCCTTCTAAGCATAGGTTATAAGGTCTTATCGACTCTATTGTGCGAAAGACTGAAGCCCACCGTCCACGAACTGAGTGGACCTTATCAGTGTGGCTTTAGGCCTGGCAAATCCATAATAGCCAAATCTTGGAAAAGACCCGAGAGAATTGGATCGGAACAGACCATCTATTTGTCGATTTCAAAGCCGCTTTCGACAGCATGTGGCGTGTGCCGACGACATCGATATTATCTGTAAAAACAAGGGCTACGTCTGTTCTGAGAATTGAATTGAGAAGTGAAGTCCTCTCTCGTCGTACAAAGATCACACTCTATAAGTCACTCATCATGCCTGTGCTGGTGTATGGCGCGGAGGCATGACAATGACAACATCCGATGAGGCGGCTCTTGGGGTTTTCGAGAGAAAGATTCTGCGAAAGATTTACGGACCATTACGCGTTGGCGATGGCGAATACCGCAGACGATTTAACAATGAGCTGTATAAGCTTTACAACGATATAGACATAGTGCAGTCAAACTGTCATCTACATTTTTAGGTTGCCTTAGAGCACGCACAGAGCAGAAATACATTCAAATGTTTGGTATTGCCTGGATTTGGATGCCGCTCGGACCCGGAATAGAACTTTGGTGCTGCTGGGTGATAGCGCGCACCTCTAACCGCTCGACCAAGGCGGTAGCGCCTAGTTCGGGTTTTTCCCTCATAAAATTGTATTTAACTTAATACAGATAATAAATCACTAAACATGAATTTCTAAGTAAATATTAAGCATTCTGTAGCTTTATAGCGTTTTTTTCTTATATGAGACATTTTTTCCCAGATGCCAAAGATAAATTTTAAAAGGAAAGTAAATTCCATAAACATCCTCAAAAGTGTAATAGGTGATTAGATACAAACAAACACTGATAAGAATTTAATCGTAGCTTTACCCACTACGATGTGGAGATACATATTAGGAATGTTAATCCCGGGATCTCGGCCTTTTTTGGGTTGCGAACATCCCGCAAATAATCCCGGGATATTCGGGATTTATAACTTGCACTGATGACAATAATAGAAACTCCTTTTCTCGACGAGTATTGACTATGTTTATTTTTTTTATTTAATAATTAGTATTTTTTATAAATATACATATAGCACCTGTAACCATGGGCCAAATATAGTAAAATTGCGTTTTAATTTTTTCACTCTGACGTCAGTAGTTCAAAAATGATTACAAAAATTCAATGAAATGTGCTTAGAGAAAGAGTATAGGTACCAAATTAGAGACAAAATTCTGTAAAATTTAAACAGATTAAATTTTTTGGTGCATAAGTACGGGTAAGTATTGAAAACGCCCTTTTAAAATTTTAGCCTTGAAATTTCGCAATATTTGTTTTTGGAAAAATTATATGATAAGGACTTACAAAAACGCGGTAACATCTTCGAATTTTTTCCTTATCAGCTTGAAAAATTACATATTCGTCCTTGTGAATCCAAAAAATTTTAATTTTTTGATTGAATCTAAAGAAATTTCCTCTTTAATTTGGTACCCTTATCAGCCTTGAATTTTTTAAATAATTTTTGGAATGAATCATATCTGTAAAATTACAAAGTCCTTTAAAATAAATGCTGAAGTCAGACTGAAAAAATTAAATCGCCAAATTAAATAAAAAATTAGGTTTCAAACCCATTGATTTATTATTTATTTTATGGTAAGAGAGCTTCTTAAACAATATAGAAGCAATTTTTTTCGATTTAAGTTGTTGAAAAGTAATGAATATCTGAGTCCCGGGACTAATCCGGGGAGTCCGGGATTGTTAATACGACATCTCGAAAATCCCGGGATCGTAAAAAGCCAAAAAATTAACATCTCTAATACATACATATGCCTGTAGAGTCAGTGGTTAGTAGGGGCTGTTAAAAAGCGCTGTTGAACTTTTGTCAGTTCACAGTCGCTGGCACGTTGACTAACTTATTCGATTCCTTAATTTGCAGCGCGTAGACTAACTTATTCGATTCCTTAATTTGAAATATACCGTTGTAATATAAAATGTTAGGTTTATGCACAAATTCCGAAGGCGTTTTTAAATTCGAATATCGAAAACAGTTGCTGGCATCAGTGTGCAGTAAGATATTCCGAAATAATTATAAAAAAAATGTTTATCGAATTTTCCCAAGATAAAATATGCACATAAAAGAAAAGTGGTACAATTTTCCGTTTTAAGTAAAGTGATTTGTGCTTTGTGTAAAATTTTTCGACTGAAATGCGTTCGCCGGCAGAGAAAAAAGAAGATTCGAATGCTCTGCATTGGATGTGCGAAACAAACTCTTGACCCGATGCTGGACGCAGACAGTGTAAACTTTTATTTCTTTAGTCTATATATCAGTCATCTATTCTGGTAGATTTGAAATCATGTGTTAAATATAAAAACATAGCCTTGAAACTAAAAAAGAATGCAACAAATTTTCTTCGAAATTTCAAACTTTTTTCTCGGAAGTGTTAGATTTTTTTGAGTGTAGAGTTTTATAGCTCATTTAAGTTTAGCCTGATAACATAAAAGTCTCAAGTGAGCAGGCAGTGCGAATAAATGCGGATGTAATCGCAATTATCCTATGCGGAAAATGTCTCAACTCTATGGAACAGGCACTTAGCGATATTTATAAATGGTCTGAGGAAGTAGGCCTCGGTGTAAATCTGGTCGGAACAGACCTAGCGCTCCTCACCAGGAAGTATACAATTCAGGAATGGAGAAAGCCTCAGTAAGGGGGCGCGATCCTAACACAGAAAAATCACACGAAATACTTGGGGGTAATAGTGGACAGCAAACTGTCATGGAAGCTAAATGTTGAGGAAAGAGCGAAAAAGGCATCTGTTTCTCTCTACGCATGCAAAACGATGCTGGGGCAATACGTGGGGCTTGTCCTTGAGTCTAACACATTGGGCATTCTATGAGATTGTGAATCGCGTATTACTCCACGGAGTACAAGTGTGGTGGATAGAAATGAATAAGAAGACCTATGCAAAACATATCCCTAGAGTGCAAAGACTACCGGAGGTAGGAATAACAGCTGCGCTGAGCGTTATCCTGCACATAACTCCAGCAGATCTAGCTGCTAAAAACATAGCAGCTAAATACCACTGCTCAATTCAATGGTAGATCATATGGTCATAGTAAGTTTTCCTGCCACCTAGTGGACAACATAGACTATATCATCCCACGTCTGCAATTTGGGGAAAGTTTTTCAGTAACGATTGAGAAGGATGGATGATGCAAGGGTTTGCAAGCAGCAGGCAGTAGAATTCATGTGTTCACAGACGGTTCAAAAACAACAGATTACGTACGAGCAGTTGTCTATTGCAAAGAATTAGATCAACAAGTCGTTCAAATTACCAAAGTACTGCATCATCTTCCAGGCGGAAGTCGCGGTGGTAAAGAAAGCAGCGGAGCTTCTCAATAATAGCAATGCCTTACCAATCAAATTAATTTCTTTATAGATAGCCAAGCAGCCAAAAATCCATATTGTCAATTAGGACGACTTCAAAAAGTGTCTTAGAGTGCAGAAATGAACTAAAAATGCTAGGGCTAACTAGGAAAATTCACTTGTACTAGGTACTTGGGCATAAGGGCATATGTAGAGGAAAACGAAACAATACAGTCACGCTAGAAATTACTTCCGTTAGGTGCTCCTCACAAACCTCGAGGAAGCAACAAAAGGAGGGTTCCACAAAATCCTAAAATTGCCTAAGAAGGTTTCATGGATTCTTGATATAATGCCCACCTATTCATCATGAATGGTCATTTTTATCTGGTAATAAATACAATGGACAAAAAAATGTATCTATGTGAGGCTTTTACTAGCCAGGCAGTCCTACTTGAACGTTGGCCACGAACTTCCTAGTCCGTTTTTTTTGTTTTATAAAAGGATGCGCTAACTCTTAGCCAGGCGCATTCTTGGAACTGAACGTTTGGATCCCTTACACGCTTTTTTAAGTATTTTTTAGAAAACGTTTCCAGGCTGCTCACCAAGGTTTGCCATTTCGCTTTATCTCGTGCAGACGGCGTTTTGTCAAACCGGATGTTATGAGCTGCTTAATGCTTAACCAAATGCAAACGAATTGTTTATGGCCACTCCCAGTCAAAATATTTCCTGCTTTTCTAGACTTCTGCACATCCAATTATGCTATTTTATTAATGTTATAAAAAAAAAAAATAATTTCGCACGCATGTGTTTACCTTGCTGTCATTAACTGTTGCTAGAATATCACCACACAGAGTATTTAAAATGTTTTTATAACTTAGTTATCATTGTAGATTAGGGTGATCCCAAAAATACATGCGGGGGAGAATAAAAGAATATTTTAAATATTAAGCTTTCACCCGCTTAGGAGTTTTTTACATAAAAAAAAAATATATTTAGAACCGCCTTAAAGCCCATGTATTTTATATGAAAAAACATTTTTCGTAGAAATGGTATAGGATTCTTGAAAATCAATATTTTTCGATCGGAAGACTCTGTTTATCTTTAGGAGACTGCCAATAACAATACTCAATTTTTTATTGAACCATTTTCGTACATTAACTATTTTTTATAGGTCTCTCAGAAACCCCATAAAAAATCGCTAATATTAAAAAATGGTAAAAGAAATCATTGGGTATTAGTATTGGCAGTCTCCTAAAGAGAGACAAAGTTTTCTGATCGGATAATATTGTTTTTCAAGAAATATTTTTTATTTCTACGAAAATGTGTTTTTAGCCATATAAAACATAACTTCATGGGCTTTGAGGCAGTGCTAAATATATATTTTCTTAAATAAAAAAATAAGCTTTATTTTTTTCCATTCATAAAAATACTGCGGGATGAGAGCTTAACATTTTTAACTTTTTTTGGACCACCCTATTGTAGACACGTACATACAAAGAGTTTATGGTATTTGCGAATGCGCATTTAATCTTCACAGCTTTAGTAAGCGTTTTAAAACAATTCTAACATTTGTATGTACATTCAAACAAGCGGCTTATCTACCTATTAAAATATCAAATAAGATGTTGCTTTTATGCTTCCTTTTAAATATAACTTGCTTATCTAATATACACATACTATGAATTTCACAATTTATATTTACATAAAACTAATTTTTCATTAAATACTTGCAGTTACCATAATCACGTTTTGTCATGGCTTTGGCTTGGGTTGGTTTTCGGTGATACTGGCTAAACTACAATCGCCCATTGAAACTGAGCTGGATTTCGTGATCACCTTGAATGAAGGCTCATGGATTGGTGGGCTGAGTTCGCTCGGCGGAGCTACAGGCAATATTGTGTATGGCATTTTAGCGGATCTCATAGGACGAAAAGCTAGCATCTATGTGTTGGCTATACCGTATATAGTAAGTGCAAACCTTTGATGGGCATACATTAATGTTTTTGCATTTAAACTAATAGTTGGCTACTAGATATATATTAAAGTACTTAATATTTGGAGATGTAAAAATATTCATTAAAATTTCGGGATTTGAGAGATTCTCGGGATTAAATCAGGATTTTCAAGACTATTTCAGGATTCTCCGGACTATTTTGTGGTATATTAGATTTGAATTTTCTGTCGGAATTTATTCGGACTTTGATTAATTTATTTATGGAAGCGACAAATTTATCGATTTTTCAAACAATATCTTCAGTTATCGATATATTTATCGATGTTTTTATCGATATATTTATCTACATTTTATCGATATAATAATCGGTATTATTATCGATATAATAATCGATTTGCTATCGATATATTTATCGACATAGCCTCGAAATCTAGAATCTTAAAAATCTCGAAGCAGCCTCGAAAATCTCAATTTCGAGATTTCCGAGCACCTCAAAAATTCTAGAAATCTCGAAGTAAATAGTCTCAAAATAGTTCCAACAATTTGAAATAGTCCCTAGAATCTCTATTATCTTGAAAAAGTTCCGAAAATTCCGAAGTAGTCCCGAAAAATCCGAAGAAATACCGGTAATCCTAAAAATCTCGAAGTAGTCTCGAAAATCCCGAAATAGTCCCTAAATTACCGAAAATCCTGTAAAAGTCCCACAAAAGCTGAAGTAGGCCCGTAAATGCCGAAATAGTCTCTAAAATCCCGATATAGTCTCAAAAATGCTGAACATCCCAAAGCAGTCTCGAAAATTCTGAAACTGTCAGGAAAATCTCGAAATTTTTTATTTTTGGACTGAGCAAAAGCAAGTACGTAGTCTTTATTCAAGTCATACTTTTAGCCTAAGTATTTAGCGCTGTGAAAATAAGTAAATACTACTTAGCATACATATTTCTTAACATCGAAAATACTTAAGTTAATATTACTTTGGTATTTACCATAATATAAATACCTAAAAGCTTTTGTACTTAGTACTTAATACTTAGTAAAAGCAATTTTGCCCATCACTGGTACAAACATAGATTTTCGACAGAAAAAAGAATTCACACGAAAAATCTATTTTTGAACAGATTTCCTGGATACTCGTTTATCTTGCAAAATCAGTCGAATTTTTGTATGTGAGTCGCTTTCTGGCTGGCGTCACAGGCGGCGGCACTTATGTCATCATACCGATCTTCATTGGCGAAATAGCAGAACCCAAGTACGAGCATACATATACGATTATCTTCGAAATATATATGAACATACATCTCTCTATGATTAATTGCTTCTCGTTTTCAGAATACGCGGCCGTTTAACTTCGCTTTTCTCGCTCACTCTAAATAGTGGCATATTTCTTGGTNTACGATTATCTTAGAAATATATATGTATGTACATCTCTATGATTAATTGCTTCTCGTTTTCAGAATACGCGGCCGTTTAACTTCGCTTTTCTCGCTCACTCTAAATAGTGGCATATTTCTTGGTTACATAATAACCGCACGTGTACCGTACCATTATATACCCATATTGGGTGTAGCTTTGCCACTAATCTATATGTTGTTGGAAATATATTTCCCAGAAACACCAATGTTTCTGCTGCAGCGCGGCCTGGATGCGCGCGCTAAGGAATCGTTGAAATTCTACCGCAACTTCCAATCGACTACAAAAGAGAGTTTGCAAGAGTTCGAAGTTGAATTTGATAAACTGAAGAGTGCTGTGTCTAGCAGCAAGAATAGCATGAGCAATGTGACCTGGCGTGATTTTTGTAAGTTCACAGTTACTAACTACTAACTACTATATAATAATTTTTCAACTTTCCTACTTCGTATGTATGTATGTAGGTAATAAGGAAGCTTTCATTGCCTTTGGCAATGGTTTCGTTTTGATGCTGCTCAACACTTTCTGTGGTGCATACGCGATACTCTACTATACATCGAGCGTTTTTGTACAAGCTCGCACCGAATTGCATCCAGACATTAATACCATCATAGTTGGCTTGGTGCAAGTAACCGGTGTCTATACGGCAACAATTTTGGTCGACAGATTTGGGCGCAGACCTCTGTTGATATTCTCATGTGCTGCCACAAGCGTGGGCATGGGTATCTTTGGCTTATACGGCTATCTATTACAAAATACTACTGTCGTAGTATCCGTATTTAGCTCATGGCTGCCATTGGTGAATGTGTGCTTCATTATGTTTGTGGCCAATTCGGGCCTAATACCAATACCCTTTGTACTGCTGGTGGAATTAATGCCGTCAAAGGTAAGTATTTAAATGCTTAGAGTTGAAGCTAAGGTCTGTAATATTTTTAATCAATATTAATTATTTTCTATTACTCCAAATAGATACGAGCGAAAGCGTCAGCCATTTGTTTGATCATATTTAACATCATAGGTTTTGTTCTGATGAAAATGTTTCCAATATCTTTGGCTGCTTTCGGCTTGTCTGCGCCAATGTGGCTTTTTGCCGTCACATGCATCCTCGGCTTGGTTTACATTACATTCTTTATAAGAGAAACCAAGGGCATGTCGCTGAATAAAGTGGAACCGGAAGCGTGAGTTTCATATAGTAATGCATGGTACAAAGAGAACACATAATTTAGCGAGATTGAGAGTCTTGAAATTTAGAATTAAAACTTAGTAGTAATAAGGCTAGTAATAAGCTTACCTATAGCAAGTAATAATAATAAAAGTAGCAGTGATTTAACAGAGACTTGCGAGTATCACTCGGCTTGTAGACGTACTGTTCTTTTTTGAAAACTTTTCACCGAGGATATTTGCTGTTGCATTTTCTCAACTGCACAATCTCAACGCCACTTAAATCTAGGGAACTAATTTACACAGGATCTATGGCCCTGTTCACGTGTACGAACAGGCGCACTTAGGCCATGGAAAAGGAGTGAATAAGTGGCGACGCCTAATGGTTTGTAGTTCTCTGAGCTGATTAAAGACCCATCTGTGCAGAATTAAACCACACGAAACTAGTGAAGCCCCGTAAGATAAAAAACCTATACAATATCTAAACACTATTCAGAAATCCGGGTATTAGGATTTTTTTCTCAGATATTCGAGTACTCGTAGATCTAGATTATCCTGATAGTCAATGAATCCGTATAGATCTCCGAGCTCTACTTAAAAGGCTTCCATTCAGCTTCAATCCATTCATGAATTTGGTACATTAGGACATGGTACCATACTCTGAACATGGCCCAGTGCAGCCTTCATGTAAGTATATATGTAGAGAACGATTTCCTCGGACCTAGCGTAGGAGTGCAGTCATTGGTTCCTGCCGGAGTTAACTCGAGTTATCTTAGAATTCTGGAGTGCTCATAGCACCCAAAGTCCAAAGTCTCCAAGAGGTCGTTGATGACAAGAACCCAAAAGAGTGGTGAGAGCACTACTCTACTTGAAAAGTTCTGTGGCAACGCTTGTGAGAAATGAACCTGACAAAGCCGACCTCGATATTCAGGATTTTAGGGGTTTCAAATTGCCTCAGACAGAAGGTTGTTGAAAGCCGCCGCCGCGATATTAAGAAAATGCCCAACCAGCTGATATGCCTTTATAGTAGGCAGGGTGATTTGATGACAAAGGAGAATAGGCATAGTCAAACGTGAAAAAACACAAAGATTGCGCTGGCTTTGACATTTCGTACGTATAGGTGAGGACATTTGAGTGAAAAAACTTTTAATTCGGCACCCTATTTTGAAAGAGACTGGAAAGTGCCAAGTATTTACTATTTCGACCAAGAGCTTAATGCAATGTATGCAATAACGTATAAAATTTTACGCTAAATAAATTGCACAAAATTTGTTGACATACAAGAGCCATGTACATACATATGCATATATGTATGCATATAGGTATGCACATACATCTGTGTAATCAATGCTTTTTACAACCTAAAAACCTAAATAAAAAGTCGATGAACTAAAAACGTTCTGCTGTTCTCCCTTTTCCCACATAAAGCTTTCTCAACACTTTCAACCATTCGAATTCATAAGTACTTTTATCCATTTCACTTTGCACCCGAAGACTCTCTTCTCTTCTCTTTCAATATGCATACTTTTAAAAGTTCGACCTCATTTTCATTCCAAGCATTCGATCAAATTTATGATAACCCTGAGCTAAATATGTTTTGTTGTTGCTGGTGTTGTATAGCATATTTTAATGCAACTTATGCTAATGGCTTGGCTGCAATAGTGAATTTAAATGTCGCTTGAACAGAAACACCGAAAACTAGGCAAACTTGAAAATTAAAAATCAAACCACTCAGCAAAATA